GTTGCCACTGATCTACTGACAGGTTTGCTGTCGTGTCCGTCTTATAAAATGCGCTGGCAGCTCCTTTGAGATGCAATATCTAACCCTGTGGCATCTTAGGAAGCCCTCCGCAATGAGGAGAGAATCAGCGTTCATATTTAAATCATGTATTTGTCCATCGATTTTTTTTCATCCGCTCGTTTAGCTGTTCACTTACTCCGGCACTGGTTAGATATTCAGGCCTTGCTATTTAATTAAAGTGCTGTTAGTGTCTTGATTATGAGCTAGCAGGTAATGCATTTTCACCGCAAATGTCATTGATTATATTATAATCCCACCTATAAGCCCTCAGACGTGTGTTGTGGGCATTGCATCAGTTATTTTAACTTCATGCAGACAATACATGTTCCATCGCAAGAGTTTATGGCAGTGTTTTATCTACCATGACTCTTCTCTCCAAGGAAAACTCACAAAGTAGTTGAGTGTCTCTTGAAAGCCATTATTCATGTCAGATAATGGAATTAGGTCAGAACCTCAGAGTTCTTAACCTTGTGAATCCTGGGTTTTTGAGAGTGTCAATGTATTCAAGCAAGCATTTAGCGATATTTTAATTGCCGAGTTTCTAACAGTGGTGTACATTCCAAATTATTATGCCAGGGACCATCCCTCTATTATACAACCATTTCTGTCTTCACAAACAGCAAACTGTACTCATTGTATTGGCCTTGGAAGGAAGAGGGGTTATATCAAACCAACATTTCAACACCCAAGCATCTAATATGTGAGTTGAGTTATTTTTCTACCAGCTCTCTGGGTTACAACTATTTTTTGTAGTTTTAAGGTTGTGGTGAAACCATTAATGATTTAAAAATCACACCTCATCGTAAATTGACGGCACGCAGATGATTTAGGAAAGTCCAGCTCTGCATACATACAATAATGATTCGTAAAATGACAGCGGTAAGTAGTTTAACAATTGTCTGCTCACACAAGGATAGCCTTTAATGGGAGGATTAGACAAACATTGAATGGACACCAGTGGAAGTCTAGTTGTGTCTTCGACGAGTTGTCATAATTCAGGCTCGTAATGCGATTCGATAATCAATAGCTTTTTGTCTCGTCTTTACCACCTCAATTGTATATTTTTGATATTTTGATATGTTTACATATAATGTTATACCGTTTGATTACATAGCCTACATGTAACATTAGCGTGTCATTTTGTGCTCATAATTTGCAGAAATCATAAACAATAAATTATCGCACAAAGTATGCATGTGAGCATAATAAGTTATTGTAATTGATCAATTCACGTAGTGCTACCTGCCAAAATATTTCCATCAACAATAAAATATGATAATAGTAGTCACTATTATCAAATATCATTGGAATTCAAAGCACACCAACCAATACACAGAGTGCGAATTTGCTAAAAATAAACTGGGCCACTGTGTACGCACAATCTGGTTCAAGACAAATTTATCTGGAAGGTTCGTAGTCAATGTGGTAAGTGATTACAGCATTGCAATGCATAACACAGAGCTTAAAAAAGACAAGAACGGTGCTAGCACAGATTCTTAACCGAATCACTGCCTTTAACCAGTTTATAAGAATACAATGTGGCATTCTGGTTAGTGTGTTGTGCATCACTGTCAATGATTTATGTTCGTGTCGACCCTTCCTAACTGCGAATTTTCATTCAATTGGGCTGAGATGTCCTGCAGCAAACCTATAGGTCTGCACATGCCAGTTATTGGCTAGTTGGGCTTCCTGTGAGATGGAGCAATGATATCCGTGGCTCTGTTTCCCACAGTTTGCTGAGGCTTGAGTAGATGCTACCCATTGTTTGATCCTCCAACTGACGAATGATCCAAAAATACTGCTGCCAGACGTCTCATCCACACTCGTTAATACGATCGCATCACCCAAATATTCTGATCCCTTCACCGGCTCCCAATCTAATCCCATATCAACATCAAGATGAAGATCATCCGTGGACTCACTCCTGCCTACCTCTCCTCTTTCATCTCACTCTCCTCCCAATAACATTCTCCTATCTAGCAACCAATCAATGCCTTCTGTCAAAGCCCCAAGTCAGCCTTCACTCAGTGGAAGGTCGCTCCTTCTCTTCTACTGCCCCTGCCCCAGGTCACGTCCAGGATTTAAGGCCTTCCTATTTTCGTCCACCAAGTGACCGACTATTGCTTTATATTTATTAAATAGGTAATCCTCCTTTCCACAGAATGCTCTTGTTCCACTCTTTGGTACGGCATCTTTAGGTTTGGTTTCATTTAGAAGCTACGTAAATATAAACTGTATTCCATAATATAGGTTTTTGGGTTATATTGTTTCATGCCAATTCGTTACTAGTTCAACACATCGTTGTGTTGGAGAGTAAACTCACTCGAATTGTAAATGTTGTGGGTTTACTCTCCGACACACCGGTGTGCTGAATTAGTAACGAATTGTCACGTTTTGTTGACGTGACAACCGTTACTAATTGGCTGTGTCGGAAGGTGGCGGGTTTAACGACACATACCTATTTACACACTCTAATAAAAACAAACTCTCTAATATTGGTAAAATCCTGTTTGGTGGCCGACTGAGCCAGTCATCTCTCCTTGGTCGATTAAACAAGTGCCACGTTGAAGAAATCGATAGAGTGCCTGCTCATAGAGAGAGACTGGCATCGCAATAGGAATGTGGAATTTCCACCACAAGCTCAGGGCTGTGAAAGGAGGTTGAGCACTACCCCATGGAGTGTTTGAGCAGGGTGTCTCTATATGTATCATCCATGACTCAACAATTCGATCTATCAATAAAGCTTTAGTTAATATCGCGACCCTTCACAGTAAAATTGTCACAGAGCACTTCACAAGTCGACATGACATTATATGAGTAACTATTAAGTTACATTAAAGAATAAAACAGTATGTAGAAAAAAAACCTTTATTTTTAATAATATTGGTCGCGAAAGCCTACATGTTAAACAGATTATATAATGCATCTTTAGTCCGATTTTAAAAAGCACACACCCTCTTTAACAGATGTCATTCATGGTGCACTCCGCTTGAACACAACATCGACCAGCACACGTTGCATGCACCATGAAACCCCGTTCACACAAAAAACACTATTTTTTGGACAACAGTTTGAACTGGGCTGAGAAATCTCAACACACACGCTTGGTAGTATGGGCCTTCTCCCTCTAAACTTCCAGATGGCCACCTTGGCACAGACGACACTCATTGTATGTAGGATTGAGTCCCAGGTGTTCCCCAGCATCTCAGCTGGGAATGTTTCAACACCTCCTGCTATGGTGCTGTTGGGGATCACTCCAGATTTCTGGCTTTAAAAATACGTAATCGTAACAGGAATAAGTTGTCAACATTTCAGTCACGCCAGTCAAACTGCTGTTCAGTCATAATTACTTGATCATGGATCCTTGATGCGTTTAGTGCCATCTTGAATGTGTGCCGAGCTCATGTATTCAGAGTATACAAAATGCCTTTCAGAGATATTTTAAACACCCTAAAATCGTTGCCTTTTTAAAAATCTCACATCTTATTTTTAAGTGCAATGCTTGATCTGAACCCCTTTGTACCGTAATTACATGCATGAATGTCCTCTTGAAAATATTTACATATTTGTATAAGTTACGTGTATATATGTATTTTGTTTAATTCAATTGCATTACTTTAAACCCACACTGCCTTGCAGTGTGCCAGATTGTATATCCTGAAAATATATCCACTCATGAATATCCTTCAGAGATTAATTGAGTAATATTCGCTCATAAACTCAATCTACCAGATGTTTTTTTCTTCTGACAATTGCGCTGACACCATCAAATCGCAATATACGTAAACTAATCCTGGATGAAAGCCCAAGATACTGGATATAAGTGGTGCTGGCTCATTGCTCTGGCATATTAGGCATATATAGAATTAGCCTCCAAACAGCCTCGGCTACCTAGTTAATTGTCTATATATTTATGATAGTGTCCCTGCTGGAATTCCACTAAGTAGCACATAGATCAGAGAACAAGCACAAATCCGAGACATCACATTGATTGTTCAGAAAATTGTGCTTAGGCAGGTCATGTACAATAAATTACGCTTTATTTATATCGCATCTTAATTCGTCTGTATCTCAAGACACTGCACAGAAAAAGTGTGAATATGTATTCTATAAGAATAAGAAAGAGCCAATTATAGGCAGTGGAAAAGATTGTGCCTCGAGCCTGAACTTGGACTGGGAAAAGGAGTCAACAGCATTATTGGCTTGGGAAGTGCAGTTCCAGACTTTAGGGGCAGCAGAGGAGAATGAGAGATCCTCCCATTGAGCAACGGTTAACTGGGAACTGATAGAAAGCCTCTTTTCACACTCACCCCTCCAGCTTTGATAGAGAGCTGGAAGGGAGGGAGCGAGAAAGGGCGCAGTGAGATGTTACGGGAGAGGTAGGCAGGGCTGAGTGAATGGAGGACATCGCTCCAAGATACAATGGCTAGTGGGCAAGGCTGGTGACAGAGTGCTAGCCACAGGACAGAATATGCCTGGGAGGATGATCACTGTAATAGAAAAGTGATGCAGCTTTGTAACTATTCAATCTTTTCGCTGTTCACTTCGTTAAGATTCAATGAAAGAAATAGTTTTGTCTTATTATTAACGTCAAATTTTCACTGCGTGGCTCATGTATTGTGCTGATTGTCCTGTCTCCTTTGTTCAATGAACATGAACGTAACATTTGCGTATAGTTTTACACAGAACATTATATAAATGATGCGTGTTTACACGTGTGATTGGATTAATATATTGACCGTATAGGACTGTATTTTAATCGATCAATCATCACTTGCCACAGTAAAATATCCATTCACGAGCGGGAGATGCATGAATTTGTATTATCTATCACGGGACATTCAAATGTGGCGATTGCATGGAAGTGGCTTCATCCAGCAGTGGGGTAGACTCTCCTGATAATGTCGCTGCTGCTGCTGCCCACTTCTCTGTGCACTCAGGACGCCTTTGGGCCCACACTAATCGGTGGCTTGGAGGAACAAGCCACCGCTGGTGGCGCCAACGGCCTGGTCGGCTGCGTGCGTGAACTGCAGGTCAACGGGCGTGAGCTATCCATCGTCGGGGAAGCCACGAGGGGATGCAACGTGGAGAACTGCAACGTGCCGGTGTGCGAGCGCAGGCCCTGCGGACACGGAGGCACCTGTGTTAGGTGATGCGAGCCTAAGCGCCGTCCTCGCGATCGCCCCTTCCACTCCACCCGTGCGCAGCCGTTGCTGCTCAAAGACGCTGCGGCTTTGTGTCATCGTCGATGTGTTTTAGCCGTCGGGCCATTCGCACACACTGTGTGTGTGTGTGTGCGCACGTGGTCGCTTAGGGTCGCGCTGAAGTCATGCGCAGATTGTTGCAAAGCGAAGTGTCGGCTAGAGAGAAAAATGCGTGCAGTCCAGGGTGGAAAATATCAATACAGAAATATACGTTTTTGGCAGGTAATTGCAACTTTTTACCGCAGTTCGATTCAGCGTTTTTTTTTCTTCTTCCAGGTGAGAGCCATTTTATATTGTTTGCTTTGGCCAATTATTTAACAATTGCACTATTGACATTTTGTCATGAGATGAAGTATCCCTTTGGAACTCTCATAGAGCAATGGATCATCCAGTGTGTTAGAGAACAGTCATTGGTTATAAGATCCCCTTCAAGTAATTCCTCAGATAAACTTGTCCACACTGGTAATCAATCTGCTATTTTTAACTCTCATAGCTGTAATATTTCCAAATTACGTGAACGACCAAATATAATTCGGTGTTTTTTCGTGTAGTCACTGGTGACCAGGCTGAGACTAACTCACTACGGTACCTGTCATCGCGTGTTTTCAGATGCACTTCTGCGGCCGTCTGGAACGCTCTTCCTTTGGATATTAGGAAGCCACTGGAGCTATGCACTTCTAAATACAGATTGAAAACTCATTTCTTTAGAACTGCTTTTTGTGCTTAGTTTGTTGTCCTTCCCCCAACACCTCGGATTGGAACAGCTGACTGCAAATGGTTCGAAAGAAGTTCAACATACATATACGCATACTACACCTGAGAACCTGGTTTGGTAGTGGGTGGCTGATGGATTCACAGCCAGGTTCTCAGTGGTGCCAGCTCTTTTGACCCCTGAAACAGGTGGTAACTTACAAAAGGTGTTTGAATCCACATGGCATTATGGGAACAAAACAGTCATGTCTTCAAATTGCTCACCATAAGTACAGAAGGCAGCTCTAACTGAACACGATTTAAATCTAATAATTTTACCTTTTAACGCACTTGTTGATCACTTGTACCTTTACTCTGCATCGTCATTCTACAATAGCCCCGCTTTCTTATTGCTACAATACATGCATCCATTCTGTATAGGATGTTCTTTCCTGAGCACTGTTGAACATGCACAGCAGACACAGCTGAAACGCTATACAAATAAGAGAACTTGTGCCATAGCCAACGACAAATTCAATTTGCTCAAAATGACCATAAGCCCTAGAAGGGTGGTCCCAAAAACGGTGCGGTTCCAGATACAAAAATTATCTGAAATTGCCTTACTTTCATCTATTATAAGCTTGCGTGACTGGGTCAAATGGCTTGGAAATTTGTGAACTTTTGCGGTCACTTGCAAAGGTATTTCGGCTGTAATAATGCCTTGAGGCCGAAACACTTGTGTGCACAACATCGCGGTGCTGTGCTTTGGAGCTCACTTTTAAACTGGCGTGAGGTACGCTACAAACAAGGGCAATGTTTATTTTTATTTTCTGGTCTTCCCCATTGACAGCCAGTGACGGGACTCCCAACTGTTCACGATACTTTGCTGTTGCAGCAGTAACGAGTTACATGTTGGTAAAGAACTGCATCCTGGGAGTCCAGCCCTATGAATAGGCCAAGCGGTCCCGCAGTGTGCCCCTTGCAGTGGTAGGTTTTTTTCTGATGACAGACACCGCCTCTGACTACAAATAGATTATACGAGAAAGTCATTCCTATAAAACACGTACAGGAGGCAGTGAATTTGCTTTAAGAGCAGAATGCTAAAAGTGCCCACAAAATCTAAGATAAATTACTTTTTCGATATGCGGTGTCTATTTTTATTAATATATCATGTGCTTTATTTCAATATGTAGTAAATCCAAGCGTAAATGTACCATCGTATTATGTGATTGCAGTATATTGTATGGAATTGGAACTCCAAAATAGAAGTACCATTAAGTCATTCCAACTTATTTTTGTCTTAGTATCTTGTGACCAAAACTTTTAAACCACCACTTGTAAATAGATGGATTAGAGTGTGAGCATTTGGGCCATGTAATCATATTCTGAGTCAAGAACCCCATGGACCAGGGTAGCTCGCACGCCAAGTTAAAGTGTCTCCCTTCTTACATGAGCAGTCAGACAGAATTCATCCCAATTGGTAGCTCTTAGTCGATGGTGAAAATTCCACATTCCCATGGTCGCGGATAAGTATATTAAACTGCCAACCACCACCTATCTATGAATTAAATCAATGTACAGTCCTTTGTCAATTTACAGAGTTTTGCTTGATACATGCCTATGCTGTGTGCTAACACTTTGTCGCTCACGGAGGTTGCTTGACCATACTTCACCGTGTTAGCGTGCAATGGTGAATCGGGAGCTCAAGACCGGTTAGCAGCCATGGCTGGGAATCGGACTCAAGATTGCCAGCTATCCGAGTGAGGGGCACTAACCACTGCACAATCACTTCCCACAGCAACGTACCACTGTGGGGCTTGTTGTGTTTGTCACGGAGGAATAAGAGGTTGAGTCGACCTGTCAACTGAATGTTGAGAAACCAAAATTAAGTGCATCGTTTAGGCCTGTCATTTAGCAGTGGAGGCAGAGTTGGTGGTTCACGAGGAGACGGACCACGGTGGCGATAGACACTAACCCGCAGGACATTGGGAGGCATTGAAGGAAACGTTTTAACGGCATCTGATCCTGTTTGGCATTTTCCAACTGTCGAAATCAGGACTCTCCTGAAAACCAGTCTCTGAGCCTAAGCGCTGCTCTTTTCAAATAAAGAAGTTGTCATTATTCTAAAAAATTGAAACAGAAAAATCGTTTACTTTGACAATACACTCTTGATCCTAAATATCACTTCCCTGCAAAGTAATATATGCTCAGCCACGTGGTGTTGTGATTAGAGCTATTAAACAGCAGTTGAAAGGTTTGGGTTAAAATTCCAATTGCGTGTAAAATTCATCCAATATCATTCTGACACCCATAATGCACTGCCCTGTGGAAAATCAACAGTTGTTTTCTTATGGAGAGACCGACCTCTGCTCCAAGAAAGTGGAATTCCATCACCTTCGAGTCACCAATCAAGATGAACACTATCTCGTTGCACGTTTGGGCATTGAGACCCTTACACAACCATAATTATCTATCAACCAAAATGTAAGAGTGTACCCCTGTTTCTCTCTCTCACCCCACCGACCTCGCCGTCACGCTACGAATAAAAAAAAATGCAACAGAGGGGACCCTAATGCAACTTATGTGTGTCCATGCAAGATAGGATAAATGTGCACGCCAAAGGACAGCTCTGCTTCTAATCTCGGAGGCCATATATTTACTTCCTCCAGCATGCATTCAATCGCTTCAATTATTGCCGAATGCAGCGTGCATTCACGCGCAAGTGTTGCACAGAGCGCAGGATGACCTTTCTTAAGGTGAGTGCAGGGCCTCGAATTTAACGCAGACATTGCCCATGGAAATATACATGCCGTTCTGCGTTAGCAAGGTCTCCATACAGTGAGGGAAAAAAGTATTTGATCCCCTGCTGATTTTGTACGTTTGCCCACTGACAAAGAAATTATCAGTCTATAATTTTAATGGTAGGTTTATTTGAACATTGAGAGACAGAATAACAACAAAAACATCCGGAAAAACGCATGTCAAAAATGTTATAAATTGATTTGCATTTTAATGAGGGAAATAAGTATTTGACCCCTCTGCAAAACATGACGTAGTACTTGGTGACAAAACCCTTGTTGGCAATCAAAAGAGGTCAGACGTTTCTTGTAGTTGGCCACCAGGTTTGCACACATCTCAGGAGGGATTTTGTCCCACTCCTGTTTGCAGATCTTCTCCAAGTCATTAAGGTTTCGAGGCTGACGTTTGGCAACTCGAACCTTCAGCTCCCTCCACAGATTTTCTATGGGATTAAGGTCTGGAGACTGGCTAGGCCACTCCAGGACCTTAATGTGCTTCTTCTTAAGCCACTCCTTTGCTGCCTTGGCCGTGTGTTTTGGGTCATTGTCATGCTGGAATACCCATCCACGACCCATTTTCAATGCCCTGGCTGAGGGAAGGAGGTTCTCACCCAAGATTTGACGGTACATGGCCCCGTCCATCGTCCCTTTGATGCGGTGAAGTTGTCCTGTCCCTTTAGCAGAAAAACACCCCCAAAGCATGTTTCCACCTCCATGTTTTATGGTGGGGATGGTGTTCTTGGGGTCATAGGCAGCATTCCTCCTCCTCCAAACACGGCGAGTTGAGTTGATGCCAGAGCTCCATTTTGATCTCATCTGACCACAACACTTTCACCCAGTTGTCCGCTGAATCATTCAGATGTTCATTGGCAAACTTCAGACGGGTATGTATATGTGCTTTCTTGAGCAGGGGTACCTTGCGGGCGCTGCAGGATTTCAGTCCTTCACGGCGTAGTGTGTTACCAATTGTTTTCTTGGTGACTATGGTCCCAGCTGCCTTGAGATCATTGACAAGATCCTCCCGTGTAGTTCTGGGCTGATTCCTCACCGTTCTCATAATCCTTGCAACTCCACGAGGTGAGATCTTGCATGGAGCCCTAGGCCGAGGGAGATTGACAGTTCTTTTGTGTTTCTTCCATTTGCAAATAATCGCACCAACTGTTGTCACCTTCTCACCAAGCTGCTTGGCAATGGTCTTGTAGCCCATTCCAGCCTTGTGTAGGTCTACAATCTTGTCCCGGACATCCTTTGGGAGCTCTTTGGTCTTGGCCATTGTGGAGAGTTTGGAATCTGATTGGTTGATTGCTTCTGTGGACAGGTGTCTTTTATACAGGTAACAAGATGAGATTAGGAGCACTCCCTTTAAGAGTGTGCTCCTAATCTCAGCTCGTTAACCTGTATAAAGGACACCTGGGAGCCAGAAATCTTTCTGATTGAGAGGGGGTCAAATACTTATTTCCCTCATTAAAATGCAAATCAATTTATAACATTTTTGACATGCATTTTTCTGGATTTTCTTGTTGTTATTCCGTCTCTCACTGTTCAAATAAACCTACCATTAAAATTATAGACTGATCATTTCTTTGTCAGTGGGCAAACATACAAAATCAGCAGGGGATCAACTAATTTTTTCCCTCACTGTATGTAAAACGAGGTGGTCGTGGTGGTGGTGACGATGATGGAAATAAACGAAGATAGAAATGAGAGAAGTGGATTAATGATGGGTGACCATGGGGAGTTGGGGGACAGGGAAGGCGATTAGGGAGGACAACAGGGGGAGAAGGAAGGGTGGGCAAGAGAGAATTACGTGGGTTTTAAGAGAGGAAGGTTGTAAGGGAGAGGCTGATTGTTTGACATGCAAGGGGTTTATTCCAGTGAAGAGGGGCTACGAGAGAGAATGAGCGAAACCAAGACTGGAAGAGCGGAACGAGACAGCAAAGATTTAGAACGCAGAGAACGGGCAGGCACGTAAAGTGAGATGAGAGAAGAGAGGTAATGAGGAACTATGCCGTGGAGAGATGTCCAAACTAAAGGAGGACATTTACAGAGGCAACCATACAAAAACAGGGTCCCAGTGTAGCTGATTGTTGTTGTTGTGTGTGTGTGTGCGCGCGCGCGTCGTCCGTGTGCAGTGATGCAGAGAACTGGTTTTGCGAATGCACACCCGGGCGACATGGGAAGCTGTGCCAATTCGAGGCCTGCGTCGTGAACCCTTGCGGGCACGGAGCCACCTGCGTGCATCGAGGAAGAGGAGGGGAAGGAGGAGCGGCCTGCCCCGTGTGCCTCTGCCCCTTTGGGCGCACAGGACCGCTGTGCGATGACCGTAAGTCAGCGTTTGTTTGGGCGATGGCGAGCACGTAAACTGTAATCGGATGACCCCCCCCCCCCCCCCCCCCCGGGCTGGTGGCGTTGGCGATCCTGTGTTATTGCTCCCGTTTCCAGTGTGTAAATTAGATGCGTGCGCTGTATTTGTGCTCGTTAACGGAACTTGCCCCAACAGTCTGTTAAGGCTATAGGGGAGGGACCTTTGTGTGTGTGCGTTTTGCATTCGTTAGTATAGTTGCTAACGTACTGCGCTATGAACCCAGTGACGCGAGTTTGTTTCCTGTAATCAGTGGCGAATATCTGGAACTGGTCCCTGGTCCTCCTGTAGGTCAACTCGGCCTTTAATGAGTGCCTGGTATGGGTGTGTAAACATTAGCACTGTGGGTGAGGCAAAAAGTGGCTGGCCATGGTTGTGGCCACACTGCCTCCTTGTCATCTCCAGCCCATGGTGATCTGCTGGACCAGTGTAGTTGAAGCACGGTGCTTCATGTATAAAGAAGTTGTGAGTGTGAGCGTTGTCGGCGCCACTGAGTGGACGGAGCCACCCGCTCTGGCCTGCAGCTCGTGGGTGTGAGGTGGAATGTGGGGGGACAGTTCACGGGCAGCCACGAGGCTGTCAGTTTGGGGCAATTTAGGGAGTAAGAAAGTCAATATAAATTAGGGTGAAATAGTAGTTGGGGGCAGTTAAGCTTGGATAAGAAAGGGAGTGGCTGAGTTGTGAGAACTCCATAGGAAGTTATGGGATAAATAAGTATAGGAGTGTAAACAACAGGCTCCCGATTGTTACAATTGTTAAGTAATATATTTTTATTAAATTGTGTTACCCATTGTGGGTGAAAAATATACACGATTGTCAGCGTCTTCTCTTACTGTGTACATATAGCAAAATTTAGGCGACGTTACACCAGTACACAAAGACACCTCCCTTGTGCGATACGGTCATCATAATTTCGGGTTCTACTGCCCAAAGACCGAGAAACCAGTTGATATTTTGGTGATTTGTCCTTGAGTCTGAAATAGTTTTTCAATCGACTCACAAGCAGTGGTGTTCCAGAGAGCCGACCATGTGTGGTAAGTGTGCACATTTATGAAAAATTGGACTCGTAAGAGTGCGGCGATAACAAATGTTCAGACTTACTCATGCTTGCTGGCTTTCATAGGTGCCTTTGAACAGTACTTAGCCCCTACAGCCTGAAAGGATTATATGGGAAAATGTTGTCTTTGTATGCTTATGTGTGTGCACATTCTTTTGCATAGGTTCAGGGAGTGGTAGTACATTGTGCCATGAACCTAGTTACCTGAGGTTGATTACCTGCCATAACAAACATAAGTACTGTGTTAAGTGGCGCCTGATGCTGTTATGGACCTCCTGCAGGTCTTCTTGGCCTTAAATTAATACCCGGAGGGGAAAAACATCAGTACGAGGGAAATAAAGACGTGGTGCTATTAGTACTCCCACCTCATGCGCATTAATGCATTACATTGAATGTGTTCCTGTAATCATATTATCAGTTTGCAGTAATGTTGTTTTACTGCTATTTTTTTATTGTTATTGCATTACTGATCCTTCAAATGGACCAGTTGATTCGTTTTTTTTAAATAAAATGATTCCCTAAACTCTCGCAATGGGGACATTATGGCATAAGACGGGTTTTGGGTTCATGGGAGAAAAAAACGTCACAAGACAAAAGCCTAAACCTAATGACAGAGGCACTCACAATTTAAAAAGTAAACTTCTGACCACACCATTATCTATGTCACCTGATATGGGAGACCATTACATTTATATGAGTAGCTGCTGTATTTTTTTTGTATGAATATATCAACGTTGCAAGTTTCGTTTTGTAGGCTTTCATACGAATGACAGTATGGGTATCTCGGCACTGATTCACGTGGGCTTGTTTCCCCATATATAAAATAGTTTTTTTCGGTGAGATTGTGTAAATAAAAATGTGTCGTTAAACCCGCCACCACCCGACACAGCCAGTTAGTAAGGTTTGTCACGTAAACAAAACATGCCAATTCGCTACTCGTTCAGCACACCGGTGTGTTGGAGAGTAAACTCACAACATGAACTAATAACTAATTGGCATGTTTTATTTACGTGACAACCCTTACTAATTAGTTGTGTCGGGTGGTGGTGGCGGATTTAACAACACATGCATATTTATGCGGTCTAACACAAAACAACTCTATTATGGGTATTATTGGTCGCGACAGCCTACGTGTTAAACATGTTCACCCATTCAGATACCGTGTAGAGCAACAGGAGCATTATTTATGCAGTGGGACAATGTAGGAGTTACGTTTCTGGATTCACGTGATATTTTTTATGATGTTTTGCTCTGCACGACTACTCCACTCCTTGTTTGCTCAGCAGATTACAATTATCAGTTGTTTAGTTATGCTTTTAAAGTTTGCGTTTGACTGAGTTGAGATATGTTTGGAACAACAGATTTTGTTTTGACTCTGTGTGTTTGTGTTTTCACTCAGAATCAAAACTGCACGGAGAATGCGATTTTTGTGTTGCATTATAGCACTGTGTAGGGATTTAATCCTGAGGTCATAAGGACCATCTGAGCTATGCATTCACTAATGCCAGTGCTTACTTAACCCTTTTGCTGAGTAAATACTTTTATTTTCGTCGCTTCCACTTGTGCAAATAATGCTTGCGCATTAAATCAGGTAACAAATTAGGAGGTGGCTCTGGCATGGTAATTTGCAATCTGTGTCCCAAGACGGGCCGCCGTTAATTCCGTAGCAGCAGGTCACAGATTAGCTTGGTGAACAAATAAATGCTAGCGCAAATGCATAATTAAGTTTCTCTCCCGAAAGCCACGAAATGTTGTGTAAGGTTTATTCAATCCTTTGGGATTTAAGATAATTTGACCTAAAAATTTGACCTAAAATATAGTTACTAATGGGAATCCAAAGTTGAGTTTTTTTATAAAATTTTGTTTTAGGGAAATGGATGCGGGAGAGTTTGTAAATCACTAGCAACATAATCACGTTCAAATATTATTCATTGCTGAGTGTTCACGTAGAACGAATGTTACATGAAAATAAATCAGGTGGCATTGTGGAGGGTCACGGGGAATCATTAAAATAAAAAATAAACATATCAATGCCTTTACGCTGCTGATGAGAATCAGAAGTTTGAAACCACTCCAGTGTTGCCTGTTTAAACAAACACTGATGTGTAAAGCATCTGTCCAGAAGGACAAACGGGAAATTTGTATGTCAACAGACAGTTTTTATTATTATTATTATCTATTTACAAGATGCCCAATGGTAACCTTGTGCTTAATACTGATAGCACTGGCACTCTGGCAGACCGCTTAACTCACAAATGGAAGGTTACAGGCTTAAACCCTTCTGGGTGGGTGGGGGCGTTGGGTTGGGGTCGGCTTTACACTTATTTATTTATCCTGGAGTATTTTCCCCCCCCCCCCCCCCCCTCGGGTGAGTAACATGAATATCTCTACTCTTTGGTTATTTCGGCAAAGTCACGTAAGGTTATAAAATAAAATAAATTAAATCACGACGTTTTGATTGCAACACAAGCAATCATCATCATCATCACGTCGTGATTTAATTTATTTTATTTTATACCTACGTGACTTTACCGAAAGAATCCTGCAGTCACGAAAACCTCAAATCTATAATGAATATCTCTTTGTGGGAAGTCAAAGACTTGGCAATGTAATATCGGCCACCATTAGCTGAGGGCTGCGGGTAGGGACGAGAGCCGTTTGAGTTAAGGGCGGGTGGGGGACACTTTGACTTTGACATTACACAGCCACTTGCTTCTCCACTTACCTGTTGCAACAATTTATCAACAAGCAGAGGGGGGCCATCGACACATTGGTCCCAACGGCTAATGTGTTCAGTAGATGAACCCACGAGCGAAGCCCCCGTCACTTGAGTCATTGCTTCGACAATGATGTCCAGTAGTGGCTCACCTCCAACAAGTAACTCAGCCTGTGCATCGCTTCAGTGGCTCTCAAGGCCTTAAGCAGATTCTTGATCTGCCGGCGAGTGGTCGATTCGGTCGAAGGCTTGAGGGGGGGGGGGGGATGGGGGGAATGAACGGCTGCGATGGTGACTTAATGACCTGGGGTGTCAGTTCCTGGGAGAACTTTGTGTGGCTTGCTGTCGAGGTAATGGACTGTGAAGGGGCCCTTCAGGTTGCTGTCCTTGCAGTGTTTCACATTAATTTTAATACGCGCGGAATCCACTTAGCATCCAGTGCGAGCGGCGTGGCCCGAACATGCGAATATTCACCGGGAATATTTCAAAGGCTGTCACGATGAGCGTTGCGTTTCAAATTGTGCAGGGTGAGGGTATAGGTGGTGCACAGTTTCGGCACATTCTAATGGAGATGCCTCTGATTCATTGAGATGTAGCTTTTTAGAATCGATGGGGGTCTGATAAGTTAAAGATTGGCCTGGCTTGGTGAGCCTTCATCTTAATATATAAAAAATATATTTGTAGTCACGGACCTCCCTAATACCAAGGCATTTACATTTTTTAAACTAAGCTATTTTTTCAGATGTTTTTCTTCTTCATATTTATGGGCATAGCGGTACATTGCCTATGATCAAGCCTCTGAGAGGTGGGGTTAGGCGGATATTGCAGTGTGTGAGACACCCACATGCAACCCGGGGCCTGACACAAGAGCAGGATACCAAGTGGGTTACTGACCTCTATCGCTATAGATTTTAAGCAGTATACTCTGGTTTATGTCAATTGTCTATGTTTTTTTTCTTTCTCAAGATTCAAAAAATATATATAACAAGTAGGGTCATCCTGAAAACAAATACAGTATTGAGGTTGAGCAGATTCCCACGGATAAATACAAATATACGTATACGTTTAATTACAATTTCAGCGAATAGAAGAGGAAATATTAGTTTTTAACAGAAATAACTAATATCAGTTTATTGTAATGGCAAAAATGGAAATGCATATGCATCAGCAAATGATGCCAAGTTGAAAGAAATTATAAGAGGGCGCGTCTGAGCATCACAGGCAACTCTACGTGTAGAACAAGTGCTCGCTGTAATGACAATCGCTTCTGTGCTTCTCCAGAACTTTCAGGGCGACGTCTATTTATTTATTTAAGTAACTGACCTTGTGGCTGTAGTACCACTTTCAGGCCTGTCTCGCCTCTTTAACTGGCTGATTAATGGTTTGGATAACCATGCCTTTTGCTCCAGCCCTGCGTTTGGTGCATTGTTTGCGGTAGAGAGATTTGGTTTTAAAGTAGGGGACAAGGTGGGTCAATGCTGTGGCTCATTTTATGTTTTATGCACTGCAAGTTGTGTTTATTTTATTATTCATTCCTTTATTCCTTAATTGTTTAGTTCACATTTTGCAGCACCAGTAGGCCATGTACTGCCTATTTACAAGCACCTCCTATCATATATTCTGCCAAATAGGAATGTTGTTCCATTGCATTTGTTCGAAAGTACACGTTGCAGAGAATATTTGATCGTTGGTAAGAGTAGCTCTATATAACACTGGTCAAAATATTACGAGCATAAAATTGAACCAAACATTTGTAAATTATGAAGACACATCAATTGTATGCCATCCTCTGACTTTATGTCGGAAGATAAGAAAGTCTTTCATTGAGCTGGGAGCGAATTTTCCAGTTGGCCAAAACTTTTGGAAGGAAATAATTGGCATGCAGATGAATAATGATTGATGGAAGAAAGTTATACATTTTTTCCCGACATAGACCGAGCTACGCTTTCATATTATATCCTGGGATCATTTATATTTCAGCATCAATGGACTTTGATGCAGCCTGCAAGGACTGCACACTCATTAACCTGAAGCAATTTATCATGGGAGTTGAAGCAGCTGGTCGAATGAAATATCACAGTCTTGGGCATGAGCACTCTACCTTGAGACTGTTATTGCTGTTTACAGGTTGGCTACATTTAGCCATTGTGTTATTTTATTTTATCAATTTATTATTTTATTCTCATTCTACGTGACTTTACCGAAAGAACCAAAGAAGATACATTTAGCCAACCGTGTGGTCCGGTGTTCTCAGCAATTGCTACCTGGATATGCTCTGGCCACAGAGAAATGCCCCTCAAAGGGACAACAGAGATGTATTCGAGCGTGATATTGCAGGTTATGCATGGATAGATTATAATGAACACGAGCAGCCACTCTTTGCGGTTGTGAATGGAAGGGCTGCACCGTATATATCGGCAACGTAGCGGTTTTGTTTTCAGTGTGTAATTTCCTGACTATCCTAAGGGGAGCAGCGGTGCAGTGGCTCGCACGCCGTGCTATTAAACACGAGTTTTGTTTGCTGGCATGGCTAACATCAGCGTCCAATGATACCAAAACGGATCCTGGGTGCACTACCTTCACCATACGCGACTGACAAAAGTGTGGCGAAGTGTAGTCCAACAATCCTTCACGGTGTAGAAACGCCTTCTTCCAGCAGTTAATTGACAGAAGGCTGTAGATCATTATTATCATGAGGCCGGAGACTAAGGTCACACAGTGGGATCCTGCAGGAGCAGGCCTTGGAAGCCAGCTATGAACTGGGCAACAGCTGAGGGGTGAGACAGAAGGAATGAAGCGATGGTGAGGTGGTGTAGTCGCGTCAACAACATTAGTCACGATGACCTCTTGACTGTCATTTATAAATGTAACCCTCCATTTTTTTTACCTCAATCAATATTTGCCTGCTATCCAAACTGAATTGGGTCACGGGGACAGCGACTCCACTAAGGCCTTCCATCCTGCCCCGGCCTTCCCAGCGTGATCGGCTTCTGGGTTTTTTTCCCTGGAGGACGTCCTTCGAACGTCTCCCGGGGGAGTCTTTCTTTCGGCATCCTTAGCAGATGAACCATCCACCGTAGCTGGCTTCGCTCCATGCTCACTAGTGCCGACTGGACGTTGAGTCTCTGTCGGATAGCCGTGCTTCGTACCACATCCTGGAGAGAGAGCCCTGCCACCCTGCGCAGGAAGCCCATTTCTGTTGCTTTTTTTTACCTATCACAACATAATGTTTAGTTTTTGCTTATTTGCCATTTCAGCGTTGTATTCATCTATATTTTGATATGTTCAATTCATACCCACTGCACGATAGACACAATGTTTTATTTTAACTCGAGCAACATGTGACAGAATTACTTGATGCCTTCTATGCTACAGTGAAATAGAAGAATACTGTTGAGTGGCCAGTTTGTTGATTTCATGAAAATTAAATCCTCTTTAGTGTTAATTTATGTAATGGCAAACAGACGGACGTTATTGGAAAACAATGTACGCCCAATTATACGTCATCATAATAATCAGCCAAGATCAATCATAGTCAGCAAGATCACTAGGGGTGAGCCTCATTACTTGTTTGAACAGGGACACACTTTAACCTATGACCTGGATAACTATTCTTATTTATCTTTCATGTTTTATATTTGTCACGTTTGTGAATTGCATCCTATAATTTCTCCCTGTATACGGTGTATATGTGTATGATATATAATTGCAGGTTTCCTTTGTTAAAGACACTTGATTTACCTCTCTCTCTCTCTTTTCAGCAATCCACGTGACCGTGCCAAGTTTTGATGGAACCGATGAGTTTGGCTTCACGTCGTTCTTGGCCTACCCGGCAGTGCTGGGGCTGAACGATGCCTTCGAGTTTCTCGTGAAGCTTACGCTAGCTAACAACTCCTCGGCCCTGCGCGACAACCTAATTTTCTTCGCCGGGCAAAAGGGCAAAGGTGAGGAGACCAAGGTGCCTAGCCGACGTGCAAAGTGGGGGTCCCTTTTCGTTGGTGACCCGTTTGTGTTTGGCTGCAGTCATGATCACCCAATTCATTTTTTTTTGCAAGCTGTGTTTTAAAAGCGTACGTCCATGGCGAAATTGAGAACTCGCCTATTGATGTTTTTCATTTCGCCTTTTGTGGAAGTGGCAACTTATGAGGCATCCAGAAAATACTTTTTTAGGGAAAGATATGTGCAATGCTACTAGAACCTGAAAAAATTGTCTGTTTTGGGGATGGGATAACATTGGCCATAAAGAAAAAATAATTGAGTTCATAGTGTCTATGTAACTCCTTTTCCATCTTAAAGTTTGACCTTACATACGTAATAAGGCCCGTGTTTCGTTTTACTTGCACTAAAAAAAATGCTCATGCAGTATAGTGTTTTAAAAAATGTGTATAATAATAATTTCGTTTATTTATTCAGGAAATTCTTGCTGAGTCTCAAGATTGTTTCTTGGGGGGGGGGGGTCCATTAATGGGAGATGTTTGGCCAATTTCTTTTTAATGAGTGTTTAATAATTCATGTCACCTACATACTCTACTGCATTTACAATAAAAGCGTTATATTTCAATAAGCAAAATAACTTAAAGTGTAATACATATTCTGCTTTTTCACTTGTAGAGAAGTAAGCACTTTCATTATTACTAATTTTACTATGATGCATATATTATTAAAATCTATGTTTGCTTTGTAATGCGTGTGCTATTATTATGTTTTATCATAAAGAGATCACTTGAAAAGTTTTCTGATTAAAATGCCCTCGTGACAGGTGAATCATACACTCCGTTCTTTATCGCTGCTGGAATTATAAACCGTACGTAATCGCTGCATGAATGAAGCCACATTGTTGACATCAGACATTAAGGGTTAACGTTAAAAAGACAACTGGTGAACAGCAATGAAACTCTCAAATGGACAGTTTTTCTCAATGAAACTCAAGGCAATGAGTCCTCCGTGGGATGGCAGTGTTCAGCAGCACATGCACGTCAACATTTGAATACTTTGGAGAATAGTCAACGAAGTGCGCTAAGATGCACGACTGGATGATTACAGAATAAAATTTGAAAAAAATTAGAAACGCTTCGATAAAGGTGCAATAATGAACATCTCGTGAGTGTTATAAAAAACACTATTTATCTTGGACGTAAAAATGTAAGTGCATGAAGGAGAAAATGTAATGTGTTCCTCACAGTTAAGCAAAACAATTGCGTAAGTTCAATACACAAGGCAGTAAACAGTAATTGTATGGTTTTTTTTTTAAATGTCAAAAAGTGTTGTCTAAGAGTTGAAATCTCAAGGCACACCATGGGAAGAGCATTAATTTAATAATTTGGGAAAAGCTAATAAAAATGGTCTCTCCCCAATTTCATTACAATTGTGTCCACGGCGTCATCCCCGATTCTGATGTCACGAGCATGGTGACTCACCACCTGTGCGCTGCACTTCTCCACACGCCCTCATGCAGAGAGGCATGCATGTTCTGTGCCATTTAAAACAAATATATTTTCTCATCAGAGTTTGCGCAGAGTGGAGGAGGGTGTACGACACACATTTAGCTAATGCAATCGGACCCCCCCCCCCCCCCCCAAAAAAAAAAATGTGTGAATGTATCAGATATGGAGTTTAGACAAATTAAGTGCAAGACCGAATTTGATGACGATTATTCATTGGGTGCAGCCTTCAGTAGCTGGGTTGAGTGAGAGCATCAACTCGGCACACCAACTCATACGGACGCCCGAGATTGCGAATCATCGGCACGCTCACGGACAACGGCACAACGCGAGCGTTCACAATACTGCCGAGTTCGTCTAGCCAACCAGTCGTTCGTCTAGCCGTCCAGTCGTTTGTCTAGCCGTCCAGTCGTTCGTCTAGCCGTCCAGTCGTTCGTCTAGCCGTCCAGTCGTTCGTCTAGCCGTCCAGTCGTTCGTCTAGCCGTCCAGTCGTTCGTCTAGCCGTCCAGTCGTTCGTCTAGCCGTCCAGTCGTTTGTCTAGCCGACCAGTCGTTCGTCTAGCCGTCCAGTCGTTCGTCTAGCCGTCCAGTCGTTCGTCTAGCCGTCCAGTCGTTCGTCTAGCCGTCCAGTCGTTCGTCTCGCCGTCCAGTTGTTCGTCTAGCCGTCCAGTCGTTCGTCTAGCCGTCCAGTCGTTTGTCTAGCCGACCAGTCGTTCGTCTAGCCGTCCAGTCGTTCGTCTAGCCGTCCAGTCGTTCGTCTAGCCGTCCAGTCGTTCGTCTAGCCGTCCAGTCGTTCGTCTCGCCGTCCAGTTGTTCGTCTAGCCGTCCAGTCGTTCGTCTCGCCGTCCAGTCGTTCGTCTAGCCGTCCAGTCGTGGAGGACGGTGGTCAGTCGGACGTCTAGATGGCGAATCGTGAACGTTATAGTAGTGAGCTTTGGGCATGAGTACCAAGGTGACGAAAGAATTATGGAGACCCGGGGGTGAGGGGGCGGTATTAAAGCGCAATAACGAGTGTGCACACACACACAAGAAATGGAGAGTGACTCAGCGTCCTTTAGTACAATAACAATGGCAAAGATCGGGGAGGGAATGATAATTTCGGACTCAAGAATGCAACCCTATTTTCCCATAAGGTTTATTATTTTCCTGTACATCTTTTTGGTGGCTGTGAGATGCTTTTGTAGCGATACAATGTCCGTTTCTTGCTACGGTGGGAAAGTTAATGTATTTTGTTCATCAGTGCACACCTAAGTGCATTATTTGGTCACAGCGATTGAACACAATTTTTTTGTCCGCTAAATGTTGCCTGCCTCCGAGCGCAAACCGTTGTGTCTGGGTGCATTTGCCCACAGGCAACGTGAGGAAAAGGGCCTTTTAATATTGTGGACTAGAGCGGGACAGGCTGTGCTTGTCTGGGTGGGTGTATTTCATATCCCGGCTCATTGTAGGCGAGTTGCATGTCGCTCGTGTGCACAAACGCACGCGCGGACAGGCGCTGCGTTTCTCTCTGTGGCCACGCAGCGACAGGACTGTGCCAACAGCCTGCAGCTCAAGAGCATAGGTTACAGCAGCAGCAGTCATGTGAATGGCAATAAAGGTGATATTCTATCAGCTTACATGTAGACTTGCCTAAATAATCTATTACGCTTATTGGATGACCTGCAACTGCCTGAAAGGTGATTTTTGTTGTTTTATTTTTTACCTACGTGACTTTACCGAATAGAAGCAAAGAGTATGCCTGAAAGGTGCTGTGGTTCGACTTCTGCTGGACTCGCCAAGCTTACGGATTTTAACCCATGTCGGCATTTCGACGGAAACGATCCTGTTTGAGTCGATACAATAAATATCACTTTGAAGTCATCAAAGGTTTGTACTGTAGAACGATTGGGCTGAAACCACGGCCGATTGCCCAGTTTAATCACGGGCAGATGAACTCAAGATTCAAACCCAGGTCCTCAGTGGCTGCTGGATCAGTGTTTTGACCTCGGTGTCACCAGGCTTCCTCGAGATGCGATAATAGCCCATACTTCTCTGGCAGAATTGTTTTCTCCTTGGCTGAGTAATTTCATGGATTATATCTCTGTTCGTGTAATTCTTTAGGATTGAATGATTGGCCAAAATGCTTTGCTCCCGGTTTTTCTTTTCATGAACTCTCCCTCGTGCCTGACAGTCATATGATAAACCATATAATGGTTTTGTTGTTCTTCCCCCGCACCTCCGATTAGCATGGTTGGCTACGTACGGTGCAAAAGAAGTAAAAAAATATACACGCATGAATAAATTAAACCAACGTGTTAAGCATTGATTTATCTAAGGAGCACAGATAAAAACTTGTCTCCTATTCTTCAGTGTTCGGCACAAACAAGCCTTTGTAAATAACAAGAAAATATATGTACACAAAAGCACAATGTATACGTTTTAAAACTTGGAATATTCTAAATTCATGAATATATACAGTCGTCAAAATATTGATACATTCACGCAAATAATTCGTATATTTACACGAATTAACCTAGTTTAGCCGGTCGTAAAGCTCATGAATATTTGTTTTATATTGACAAAACATTTGAGTGTATAATGAGAAAATGAAGGCCCTTCTACAAAAACAATTCACTCCTTCTCACGCGATCTGTTCTAGAAGGTTCTACGCACAAAATATGCAATGTTGTAAACGACCGAGTTACTACGAAATATAATCTATATAGCACAAAAAGAAAACTGTGCGTTTTTTTTATCTGTCGCGTACAACTGGACGTTAGCCTAATTTATGTTGTATATCTTTGAAACGGAAATCTATTTGGAAGCTGTTTATAATTGTAATTACTTCCATAGGCTGTTTTGAATATGATTTCAATTACTGTTGCAAGCAGGGGAAGAACAGCATATTATAATTATTTACATAATGCCAAAATGTCAGTGCGATTAATGTTCTCCCATAAATCAAGCAGAGAATGCAAAGAATTGGAGTCAACTGTATTGTGCTTTGGTGTTGCACACGATGCTTAATGACGTTTCGCATTAGATTTATGCAGGTACCTTGAAGTTTTCAGTGTGTTTTTATTACCATATTTAATACGGATATATTGTTACCTTGATACTTCCAAAATGGTCCCGAGTTCCCACTTGATATGATGTACACACGGTTGCATTAAATATTCACAATAGATATTATGTGTGTGTACGTCTAGGGAAATGTATGACAGTGGTTAGCAATAGGGGTGTAACGGTGCATTAAGAGGTAGCCGATTTTAAAATATAAGCAGCAACAGATTCAAATACCTTGGAGAGCAAAGTGATCAAATGAATGTTACCACTCTATCGAATGCAATAGCTACTGTTATAACGGAACATGCCTGAAAGTGGGTGGGAAACGTTCAAAAGCAAATAGAAAATAAATGTTCTGAAACCACAAAACACAGTTTGAGGAACAGAAGGAGATATGAAAAGATTAGATGATGTTGAAAAAAAGACTGCAATGCAAGGAACGTTGTGAAACTGTTCGGG